ACAGCTACGAGAAGCAAGAAGTCATCCCGGAAATGATCGAATTGGCCAAGTTTGCCAAACAACACGTGCCTGAAGAACACGAGCTGGATGATAAGGACTTTGTTTTGAAGCGTGCCGAGATTTTGGCTAAGGCTGGGATGACTTCCGGGCTGGTGGCCTTGTCCAAAACAGACAGTGATAATTGCAAGGAACTCATTGCTCGTGTGTTGAATGCCATGTGTGAGATGGCGGAGTTGCGGGGCATTGTGGTGCAGCAGGGAGGTGCAAAGGTAATAAGGCATTTTCTTGAAATGCTGAATCGCCATTTTTCTGCCACTTAGCAAACCTTCAGATGGCCTATGCACATATTCGTCACGGAAAATTCGTTATACTGAGATTTCAGGTGAAAATAAGTTTTTTTAAACTTAAAAGTCAACCACTCTGAACGAGATTCTTGCGACATGGCTCGTATGAGAAAACTGTTGAGACCCTTGGCAATTCGTTGCAATTAAAAATTCGTTAAATTGAAATTGTGTGCGAGTCTGCCTTATCATTTGATTGGGCCAAAGTATTTTATATTGCATGAAGGCGCATGAAAGAAAAAACTCGAACAAAACTTCGAGAAACAGCTCTGCTCTTTTACTATGAACAATACGTGTAAAAATTTGATATATTCTGTTTTATTAAATGTATTGAAATGAAGTACTGTATAAAATCGGAGGCATTTGAGCTTCAAATTATTTCTTGTGGCTTTCGATCTTGTAAAACAGACTCAGTGGCCTAATAGTTCCGTAAATAAGCTCAATTTGCCTACAGTAGAGACCCACATATCCTTGCTCTCATATAATACTCTCAATTTAGGGCCAAAAAGTTTGTGAGGACAAATTATGGCACCAAATCACTGTTTTTTATTCTATGATAATATGAGATCGAATGAAGGAACGACTGACTCTTTCTGATTTCAGATCTTGATACCGATGGCACTTGAAGGTACCGTAAAGGGCAAACGCCAAGCGATTCAAGCGATCGCGAGAATCGGCATCACCATCAATCCGGAAGTGGCCTTCCCTGGACAGCGAAGTTGCGAAGTCGTTCGTCCACTCCTCAAGAATCTCCATGTCGAGTGTTCAGCGTTGGAAAACTTCGAGTCGCTCATGTGCCTGACCAACTTGGCTGGCATGAACGAAACCGTGAGGAAGCGTATCATCAAGGAAGGTGGTTTGAGTTGGATAGAGCATTACTTGTATGAAGACCACGAGATGCTGAAAAGAGCTGCTGCTCAGGCCATCAACAACATGATGCTTTCCGAAGATGTCATTAAAATGCATGAAGGTGAGGTTTTTTTGGTTGCAAATGCTTGGGGTTTTTTTTTGTGTGTGTGTCTGAGTTGATTATTTTTTGCTGTTTCTTGCTTCCTAAAAATGTCTTCACCCACAGCGCCTTGGAAAGCCTTTTTTTTATTCATTAATTCGAAGGCTTCCCCTCTCAAACCTCCTTAATTTGAATTTTCTGGAGTCCTTTTGGCTTATATTTCATCTGCACAGGAAAGAGGAAAGCCATAAAAAAGTAACTTGATGTGTTTTCAAAGGA